CGCGGCCACGGGCACGCTGGGCCCCTCCGTCACCGACTTCAACGTCATACCGTGGTATGTACCCATCGTATCGATCTTAAATCCTTCAGTCTCTGTAAATACAAAAATATAATATAAACATAAATTTTAGATTAATCGAATGTATACTGTATAATCACACGTCATAGAACACTGCCCAGCAGTGACTGAATACAGGGTTAGGTATCTCGGTTCGCTGAGATCGCTCCCAGAGATCACCAGCAACACAAAAGGTTAGCTGGGGTTCTTCGGATAGCTGGGTTGGCTGAAGTAATCCATTTCCTGTTATCACGCAAAATACGCGCTATTCGTGAAGTTGCGGCAACCGTAGCCCCTACAACTACTACTACTGTATAATCTTAACAGTATATAAAATGTCTTTTCTTTTCCATTATTATTTTGCTTACCTTCTTTTTGCCTAATAAACCTTTCCTGATCGTATCTGTTGTACTGCGTCTGTTGTGCGGGTAATGCGTTTGACGCAGGCATTACTACAGGCTGAGGTCTGGGTGCACCGAGTCTTCCTTCCTCCCGCGCTCTTATACTACCTAAGAGAGCTAGAATACTCTTAGCAAACATCTGTAAAACAGTTTTATAACTATAATATTTTAAATATATGAGGGTTTCAAGATCTAAAACATAGATAACATGAATTAATAACACTAAGAGCCTGTTTCAAAATTTTGTACACTAGTACTGTCTGTCCCAAAGTGGGCTGACAACTACTTGTAAGTATTGGGGCCTAAAGGGTAAAACAACTTGTTTAGACTATAGATTTAATTAAACTTCAGTCAAGACTGATATGTAGAGGGTTTAAAAAAAAGGACAGAATATCTGATTTTTACTGGTTGGATGTACTGTCTTACAAGACATAAGTTTGGTCACCTCTGCAATAGTGAATTGGTGTGTTTGGAAGTAGATTCTAACTAGTTACAAAATAGGTCCTATTGCAAAGAGAGTCATAATCAGGCTCCAATATTAATTAGTTAGTTAATAATTAAAATATAAACATACCTTGCCATTACTCTGTAATACTGTTGTCCTAGTCCTCCATTGTCTTTCACGGCTAATAATGTCTTTGGTTAGATCAACATCATAGTCTAATATTGCTCTAAAATCTGACCCAACCACTCCTAAAGTGTCTGAATAGTCGTTACTTTTTATTGTAGTTCTCTTCTTAGCTAAACGTTTGGCCTTGATAGCTGCAATCTTTTCCACTGACATAGCCTCCGACAGAGACCTAAGAACGAAAAATAAATTGTTAGCTCTTAATAACTGCATTTCCTATAATTAGTTTTCAGAATTTGTAATCTGAGAAAATAGAAGAAAATCAGGGCACCTAATGCTGAGCAATTTAAAATTCAAGCTTCGAAAATCGTAAAATGACTTGCCCATCTTGCAGTTATGACACAAGCCATCATCAAAGCAGCAAGCCACACACAGCAAGTTGCTATACATATGTATAGCAACTTTTGCAGGCTTCTTAATCTCATCAGAATTTGGACTCTCTTCAAGCATATCAAGATTGGGCAGCTGTTACAGTAGATAACTGTGGTGTATGCTGGGATTGATAACTGGCCATAGTGATTAAGGACAATTATTCGAAATGGGGGTAGGCATTTCGAAAAATATAAATAAAATTGTATTCTACATTTAATTACCTTTTATTTAATATATATTATCTATATAATTAACACGAAATGTATCATTTATTACATAATAAGTTCGTGACAAAACTTATGACCCAACTGAGTATGTAAAAAATAATTTTTATACCAAGTTTTGACACAAACAATAAATTCTCACTTAATATTGTCCACTGTGACGGAAGCTTCTTTTGGTGCATCAAGACGGGCAGCAAGCTGCTCTCGCACCTTTTGTACATGTGTCTCTTCAATACGTGGTTTCTTTGCTGCAGATTCCCCTCCATCATTTTCATGACTGCGTTTCACCTAAAAAGTTTATTAAAAATTATTTTATATCCATGTCTATTCTAAATACATAAATAAACATAATATTTGGGTGGTTTTTCTCTATGAGATCAACATTAGTCTAAGATTTAGTATTTTTTTCTTATGAATGTTTGAAAATATGTCTTTGAATTACTTTAACTTTGTTACATTTTGTCACATGAAAAATTCTATAGCTATTGTATCCTCAACCTGTCACAATTATATTTAGGTTGAATATTGATAGTATGATAATCAGGAGAGTAAAAGAAATATTCACAAACTAACAAAATGAAAATGTATGGAAAGGTTAAATATCTCTACATATCATCTTATAAAATGTTTTTTCATTGAGTTGATTTTAAAATGTACCTGTGTAGGAATCTCCAAAGGTGCACTTTTATCTATTGAAGCACAAGTTGCCGTTTCACCATTTAAGTATGCTAGCAATTCTTTACGATCAGGCCGTCGAACAGCAGATATATTTGCAGCCTATAATAAAAGAAGACCATTAGCATTGAAACAGTTTACTAATATACTTTAATGAAAATATAAAATACTTACAGCTGCTTGTCTGACATAAACAGGATGTGTTAACTGAATGTTCTTAAGGATAAATAGTAGACATTCCAGAGTATAATATTCCTTGTTACTCCCTTCCTTGCCGGATCTACATAGAAAATTAGGCACGTGAAACATTTGAATAATCAACAGAAACTTGTCATTTTATTTTGTAAATAGACTTAAAAGTACTTACCCCCACATAAGATAATTCGTTTTAACATTTTTTGGCCAGGAGAACTCTCCAAATATAATTTGATTATCTCTTTCAATAATTTCTTTTTTATTTACATTATATTGTCGAAGTAAACTTAGGGGGTCCGCCATGATTACGTCGCGGCGCTGGTGTTACACACTATCACTTAATCACAGCCAAAGGCTTATAACACAACTGAAGCGTAAATTATTCCAATCAATTTATTAATTTCATTGTAAAGGATCAAATAGAGGTACTATTTTAGAAAATCGTCCCACCATTCATAAAAATAGCAAATTGAATACAATCGTACAATCGTGTCAAATTTTCTGTTACAGATTATAAAGAAATAAAGCTAAAAAAATGTTTGGCACCAAACTGAAACAAAATATTTTATAAAATAAATAAATATTCAATGGAATTTAGAGTAACATAAAATAAAAAGTCAAATTGCATGCTATTTAATATTGTAGATAGAGAAATTTAAGTTTGAATACAACTATCACCGCTTTTGCCCTTCAGAAATTATGATGATAGAAGCGGTGCTGAGGTGATAATGTTGATTTTAAACCCTTCTAAAAACTGGGAGAAAACGGTTTTAAATCATAGAATAAATTAATCCAAACAACTTTATCTATGAAAGTTTTGTATTTTTTTTTATTAATCACCGACCATATCCGTCTTTCTCTTAAATATATGGCCAATTGTTTCTATTAACCAGATATCTTTCAGCTCATGTATGTGTATTTTTTTGTTTAGATAGCAGCTAAACTTGTTAACTAATTTGTATTAGTTAACAAGTTTAACCCTTGAGGGTAATGAAATTAATAGCACATTGGTCATTGGCCTACGAATCAATGGTACATCATAAAAGTTAAGGTCACCATTTTATATGGGCATCTCGACCATACGATCTGATTCGTCATTTTGGAAATATGATTCAACTTTTCGTTTTTTGTATTTTTGTATTGAGTTATGGTTCTATTATATAACATTCTTTTTTTTTCATGTACATGCCATTTACATGGTGCTAATACATAATTTCACATTCATAATACATATATGAAATACACACTCGAAATCATCGTCGTCTATCTTTCCTTTTCTAATAAAAAGAATTACCAAATAAAAAAACATACTGAAGAAAATGAACCCTTGTTTTAGAAATTTTTGTTGCCTATTAAGTAGAAAACCTAAAATTTCAAAACCTAGTACGAGACTTCCAAATCTAAAAATTTAATATGATCGTGAGAAGGACCTCGCGTAAACACAACTGACAGTATAAAAATAAGATGTCTAATATGGCTGCCGGTCGATTCTTATTTTAATAGAATTTTCGTAACTATTTTTAAGATACAAAGTAGAAATTTTGTGCTTTAATATGTCCTGGTGACTTGTGTTATAGTAATTATGACTTCTACTCCCAAGTCTGAAAAATGTGGACAAGGTGAGTTCCATTCATGTAACTTTGCGACTAAAGGTATTTATTGGTAGTATATTTATAATCATACAAATACAAAACTTTCAACTTTATAGACTTATATAATGTACACAATATTGATAATATTACGTGTTATGTCTTGTGGATTTACCTGAAGATTTTAATGGACATTCACCGACATTTAACAAAGATATCGATAATTGTTATCAAAATAAAGATAGCTTTTGTTTATGAATCAACTATTTATCACATCTTTTGTTTTTATAATCCCATTCGACTTTGGTAAAGATAGTGTTGTGTGTTCGTGAAAAAAAAACTTCAATTGTTTCTCCTTATAGATTATTGATTTATTCATTGAGGACTAATCAATATTATGTCGTAATGAGTTTTTTTTACTCTTTTACTTTGTACTTTACTCAGTTTCATAAATGATTCACTCTGTGGGATATTGTTTTCATGCAAAAAAATATAAAACTGTTATGGTATTGCTTTACTTTAAGTTAATTATTTTATAACATAGTTTTGAGTGGTTCAGTTCGATCATCATCATAATTATTTTTTTTGCCTTCTGCTGGACATGGACAGGCATTCTCTAATGTTACAATATGTGTAAAAATTAAATTCTTATAGTGGTTTGTTTCTAAGACTTGTTTGCATATATGTATTGTATTTAATTCTCCATAGGAATACTAAACTTGATCTTAAGTAAAGTCTGAATAATAACCTTCCGTCAAGGATGTTCAATATAGGTTAGTTTATATCTCTTTTCTCAATTGTTTATAAATTATCTTGCAAAATCTCGGTTTATCTTTGTTAGTTAGTATATTTTAGTAAGAGAAAAATACCATTGCTTGTTTAAAACTAGATCCACAATATAGGGTTTCAATGGTGTTTTATAAATGAAACTTGTTTAATTCAAAATGAATTTACACTCATAAACTGCGTAGTTATGTTTGTTTTTGAAAATGTTTAGCTTAATGTTTTATGATTACACAATAATAACATTGCTTAATCATATTAAATGATTAAGATATATGTGTATCCAATAAACTCAAAACATGGTGAAAAATAGAAAGGAAATAAACAATTAGAACTCAATAGTGTGAAATATAATTGTTATTGGTGTTAACTTTCCCAAGTACTTGCTAATGATTCCCTTTTCTTATTAAAAAATAAAGGGTGAGTTTAAAACAGTTCTTTAACTATTTCACATTTATTTCTATTGTTTATTTTAACAGTAACTAAGGTTTAGTTGACATGGTTAAAGTCTTAACAGCTTTACAAATAAATGCGATATAGAGGTTAACTTAGGAATAAACTGAGTATAAGCAAAATTTGTACTAATATTTGCTTATACTCAGTATATTCCTAAGTTTAACTTTATACCACATTTATTTGTAAGGCTGTTAGTTTACTTTGCTAGATTTCCAAATTAAATAAAACTAGTGTTATGTCAGTTTTAATAAAAGTATTCCATGAATGCCTAACTTTTATTCATCCAGTGAAATAATATAAAAGTAAGGGCCACAGGGTTAACGTCTGCTTTCAAGCATAAAAAGTATGTAGAGAAATATGAACATTTTCACTTCAATATTTCTTTGAACTGCACCACGCACGGTTGCGGCCGCACACAAAACGTCTCGAATGTAAAGTCGTATTCACGGTTTTTCTATTCATTTTTTTTCTCTTATTAACGTGGGTATAAGATATTTTGAAAATAGTAAAAGAATGTTTGCATTCGACTATACCTTTTCATTGTTAGAAAAAAACAAGGTAGTAGAACATATTATGTACGTCACCGAAAAAAGCAGAATACTCTATTTTTGGCCTGTCTTAGCAAGGCCATAATATTTCACCTGTTAAGAACATTCTGCAATAATTATTAGCCAACAACCTTTCCAATTATTAAACCCTAATCCTGTCTAGTCCAGTGCCTATCGCCAGAAGGGCATTTCAACTGTGCCGCGAGATTAGAAAATCCAAAAAAAAAAGATATAAAAGCTACTTCAATTAAAACCATATTAACAGTCTCTGCTTCCCAACTCCCCTAGCTCTAACATAGATCATCAGCTGGCAACTCCCAAGCCTCTGATCTCTGTTTATGCAATCAGTAGCGCTTCATTGTTTTTTTTTTTACGTTTCGACTTTATACTACAACTGTATTTGTATTGTGCTGCATGGTGTATGAGTGTATGGGAACAGTGACCCGCGTAGCATCCGGCGTCCGCTCCGACGACCTACATCAGTACTAGCACATTTAGATATACCACGATTAGTATGACGATTGCGAATACTTCGCGCACTGTATCATTTTATTGCGATTTTAATCATGTCAGTACACATGGTGTATGAGCTAACTATGCCTAAGACGTTTTTTTTTTTATTTTGTCACGCTTTATTGTACAAATTACGTGTAAATTATCGATTTTATAAAAAATAATCTTTCGTGTAAAGAGCCATTAAGGTTAATTTATCTTGAAAAACTACGATATGTTACATAGTAACAAGACGTCGTGATTAGGCTGTTAAGTTTCTACTAGTCGATTGAGAAAGTTTCGTCTCCCCAAGCACTCAAATGAACCGTGAAGTGAAAAGCGACGGACAATAAGCACAGTGAGTATTATAATAAATGTAAAGTCTAAATATATTGCATTGTCCGCGACGAGTAGCAATTTGTTTAAGTAGGACGAGCCCGCGGAGACGCTTGCCACTACGTATTCTTGTAACGAACCACTCGAATTGTTTGGATGCCTTTAACGCTTGCTGTTATAGGTTAGATTCAAAGCATTCCTTTTAAGAAAATAACAAGAAATAGGGATGGACAATTTTAGGTCGGTTTTTAACATGCTTCTATTTTCAGGAAAAATTTACGAAGTTCAATAACATTATCATTAATATCTGTATTATAGCAATTCTAAAAGACATAGAATTAATTGTACCAATACCAAGTTTATAGAAGATGGTGATGTTTTTATCGCGATTAGTCGTCATGAGATTCTAGGATGTTGTGATGTTACCAATAACCTTATTATCGCCGTACAGAACAATTGTTTGTAAGACTAACATGAATACAACAGGCTATGATGACAATAGTTATTATGAAATCCAAGCAATACCACTATTGAATTTGCTATCGCCTTGTCATTCTGATTCATTTCTCGGAAGGAAGAGCTTATCACATGCATGTATTAATCTGGGGACGGTTGACATTTCCTCTGCATGTTAATGTGTGCACGTCTGTAATAGGAAATAACAAACATATCCGATGGCATTGTGAAAGTTATTCCAGTTCTTATGCAATGGATACCGATTAGTTTCCGTTGTTTAGTGTTTAATGGATACTGTCGTATAGTTTTACCTGAAAGGAAATTATTGTTGCAACGTACGACGTAAATAAATCGTTTTATGCGTGCTCGTTTAAAAAACTTTAAGCTGGTTCCGGATCAGATGGTTGTATGTCTGTTTTTGACGATAAATTGTGACGTCTAGTTACAATTACTGGTCATAGACCAAGTGTAAAGGAAATCCTTATAAAGTAACGATAATAATAGATAACTGTTATTGTACTTTTTTCTTTAATAAAAGTTTTTACCGAATCAACAGTATTTTGACGTTCATTTCAGAAATAAGAATAGTATTTGTGTTTATTTCAAAACAATTGAGTCGTCTAGACAGAAACAGGGCTCTTACTTTTAACATACTATTTTCATGTGATATTTTTAATAATTGATTTGTAAAGAATATTAATATTTTGTTAAATATTGCAGAAGTAATGTGTTCATGGTATAGTGTTGAAAAAAATGTCACTTGTAACTCTTATATAATGCTGCACTTCGGAGTTATTCAGCTTCTTAGTATAATTTAGTGACTAATTAACGACTATGAGTGCGGTTATTAATATTTATTGATGGTAGCGCTAATTGTGGGGTAATTAATTACATATAAGGTACTATCGGATATAAATTAGTATCGTATGTATGCAATGAGCACGGTTAAGTAGCGGCGCCAGGCGGTGCGGTGGTGAGCACGTGATCGCGGCCACCATCCGCTTTGCAAAACAATTATTACAATTATGTACCTATCACCAAAGCAAGGTTCTCAAACTCTTTGTATTTTATGTAAAAGTCATCTATGCAGAAGTTAACCCACTAAGTTCTTAACCTATGCTAGAGTCATGACTTATGCCAATGAAATTTCCTTTACTGTTTCACTTTTTAGGAGCAAGATACCTAATTGTTTTATCTGTAGACATTTGGCTTTGTGGAATAGTTGTTGAGTTCCATTCTATCAAATATAACTATGATACAATTACTAGATGTAATAGGTTTGTACATATTCTCAAAGCGCAGATCTCGTATCTCAGGTCCGGTGCGCGCTAACGGGACCCTACCGGCACGGATACATAAGATGACACGAACCGCACATCTCCTCTTTATCACATTTTAAACCAACTTTACAAGTCATTTCCACCTCATTGAGACATAAAAATATCGATGTAATTACTACCTTATGATTTTTTACACACAAACATGTAAACAGTTTCAATATCTCGCCTAATTGATTATCTGTTTTAATGGAGATGTACATAATTCATTTCGTCCTCATATAGTATTTTTAAAAGCATAAAATGTTTACTGTTAGGCATATAAATTATCAATTATTTTGTTATATTAAAATTAGAATATAGAAACCTAAAGATCTTCACTATAGATATCTGTACTATGTAGGAATCTTCGCATACTTTCATAATCTCACAACTATAACTATTAGCATGCGCACTTGAACGTTAGAACTTCATGCCTAGAGGCATGTATGTTAGCATTATGGATGCACATAAACCTAATGCTTTTTACTCTATGCAGAGATGTAGGCATGTGGAGAGCCGTTACAGGGAACACATTTGCACCGGCCACAAGTCATTATCCCCTCGATTACCCTTCGCGATTCGCATACACTTGCAAATGTACATTTGACTACGCAAATATATTGTTTGATGATGGGTCATGTTACTCGCCGGGTAGATCGCCTTGACGATTTATGCATTAAAGCATACCTGTTGATATTCATGTTTGACGAAAGTGAAAGGCATTCAGTCCTTAGGAACCGGTCCCGAATTTGTCTTATGTAACATCTATTTTTACACGTGATTATGTTTTCTAAACAGAAGGCCGCCGCAAAACGGTTCAATATTGTTTTGACCTTAGGAGTAATTGCCGAGGCCTTAACTGTTTAATGGACCGATGTCGTGATTTAACAACCTGTGTATTATTTTAACTTCCCAGTCGTATTGAGGGTCTTTGTTTCAAATGTACGTCTGTATTCTGTAATTCGTTGTTGATAGAGGAATAATCTTATCTATTTAGATTGTGACTAGCCAGCCGAGACGACATGTTTTTGTGTTATTAATGATCTATTCTTGCTATAGGATAATTCTTGGCAAAAAGAGCTGTCTTATAATATCTACGTCTTAATTCCTTTTTTCGATTTTAATCTAAAAACCACTTTTAGCAGTACCACTAGTTAAGACATTTAAAAGTTTACAAACTCGTACATTATAAATGTTCCATGATGCTATACCTATTGTTCAACTGTAGAGCTAATCGATTCGTTTCTTGTTGTGCTCGTTGTTCAAAAATGAAACAATTATCTTAACAGTTTTCTGAGCTAGGCGCTTGCGCAACAATGTTAACATGTGTAGACGCTGTAACCTTTATTACGTGTCGGAATAGCCATTACCTACGGACTTGTTGGTTGGCTATTGCGACACCACATACCGTTATATTGTTGCAGATTTATAATTATTTTCTCTGAATACCTTTACGTACGGTTTCGTAAAACAATAAACATTTACAAACTCCGATGAAGACCATGGGTATTTGAGATCCATCTAAATTTTTATGCCATGTGACAGGTCCATAGAAGAAACTTAAATTTGCTGTAAAGAAATATCTAGTCAGTCATAACACCAAGGATCTAAGTGAAGCGTATCATTCCGATTGCAACACTTCGTAGGTCGTATTAACTTTATCGTTTATTGGTTTTAACTCTTAATGTCTTGCTCATTTTGTAACAATGTTTAGAACTATTTAAAACGAATCCACGCTATGAAATTTAGTTTCGCTTGACTCTGTTCACGGGACGGAAGACGTGACTTTTTTTACCAAAGCGATGCGACGCCCAAAGCTTGAGATAATTTTTGTCTCATGATTACCCAACATCTGTAAAAACATCGTGATGAGGGCTGTCACCGTGACGCGAGGAATTAAACTGGGCCGTTGTGATTTAGCAACGATTGTTGCTTGAGCGTCTGCAACGGTAACGCACACGACCCGCGTGTTTACAAAATAACATAGCGCTGTGAATTTAAATAATTTGTGTGCCGCTGCATTTGAATCCGGCCGGGCGGGTGCAGTCGGCGGCCGACCTAGCGAGAAGTGTACGATCCCGTTAGGCTAGGCTAGGTATCACGATCGGGCTAGTTTATTGGAAAGTGAGTGAGCGCGGAGCGTGGCCGCTTCCTGCTATCGGAAGAAAGGCCCACCTCGCCGATCATTACGGCGTGCGCATTAATGCTCTCTACGCTTTAATTACAACGTTTAGCCATGTCAATAAACTTTATGAGAGGGAAAACTTGTAGCGAGAAACTGTGGCCATGTAAAAAACGAGACTATTCACTATCAATTTATGTTTTTCTTCTACAATAATTGCCAAAAATACAAGCAAAACACTTACAATTACAATGCTTAATACTAATAGCGACTACATATGTCTATTCCTATAATTATCACAATTGGTTTGGAAAAAAAAACAGAAGGCACAAAAAATTACGGCTTATGATTCGAGTCTGTCATGCACTTCATCAATTTCTACATCATTCTCTACTTAGTGGAACTAAATTGCATTTTCAATTAACGGTTACTGGTACTGGTTATTAGTTAAATAAACTATTTTGTCGAACTATCACGTTATTTCATCAAGTGTTAATACAACGCTGATTCCTCAATTCCACTCGTGACCAGACGTTTCTTTGTTTGTCTTGTTACAGAACCGTTTTGTCGGTCGATTTCATGCTGCACTTTGTTCGATTGGTTACTTTTTTACAAGTGATTGGACTAAGATATTTGCTAACGAATATCTTGACATTAATTTCATATATTGCAAATTGTAACAACGTTGTAAGCTACCGGTCGCTGATTGCTACTTTGCAATTGATTTTCAATATCTTGAAGTTTAAATATTTTTATAACAGACATGTTAAATCATTTAATGCTTACGCAAACTTTTTGATTTGCGTTCCAATTCATTTCACAATAATTGGCATCACTTTGTTCATCACATTCACATTACGTTGAGTGCTCACGATTCCTGTTTGTGTTTGAAATAGAAGCGAATTACCGGCACACCTAATGTTTTGTGACCACTATTTACCTATTAACATCCGCAACAATGTTAACTGACTTACGGATGCCGTCAACATTTATGGAGAATTTAGGATACCTTTGGAAAAATTAAATCTAACTGCACTAATCTTAACCAACAGGCGTTTGTTTTCGTATGTTTTAAGCAGTGATATATGTGGAATGCCTTGTTAACTGTATTTCTTTCTAAAGCTGGTTGAGGCAATCACGACTTAATTTGTACGGCTTTTAAATTAATTATTTTCAATTCGCGTGTACAATACGGTTATAAGTAGTTCACAAATACCATTGCGTGTAACCCTGGCTGGCTGGTGCGAGCTGTGAATGGTCAAGTGACACACTTACACAGGCACACTTTTGTTTCATTGTGATTTAGATTTAAACAATTCTGTTTTCATCTATTTATATAAAACATACTAATAATTATTTTATATATTTAGTAAGTGAAGTAATTTTGTAGTTATTAAATTTTCTTTAAATTACTTAGCTTTTATAGAAATGTGATAGGCATATAAAAATTGTAATGAATGAAATAACTTTCCGTACAACTATACATTATTTTGTCATTAAGGACATCGATACATCTTGTACGTGCAGTCACGTAATAATTGCGTATAATGCTTCCACTAGCGTAAGTCTGTCCACGACGTTACATCATTGCCGCGAATTAACATTCTAGTGTCCAGACATTTAAATTAATGTGACAGGGTACCACGTAATATTTTTTTCCAAGACTTTCTAGCATTATACTTATTTTATTAAAACATCCATTATTTTTTTTGCATTCTCATGCACAAACGTGACCTATTAATTTCGTATATCAATAGTTGACGTCAATAGATAATCGCACCTGAAAGAGAGGAAAGAAAAATGTCACGTCTTTCATGACTTGTGAAGACCGATTCCGACACTATAATGTCTCGCTTATACTTCATGACTCGTTCGAATAACGTCTACAGAAGATATGGTGCTTAGGACCATAAAGCATAATGTATAAAATTTGTCTTTTAGTCCTGTTTGGAATTTGGTTAGTGGCAGTGCCTGCATTGGTTTTTCTTCACCCAATGTTAGTATGAGTTTGCGGTTTCTGTCTGACGTAGGGTATTAGATACCAGGAGTGGTACTGCATACTGAGGCAGGCTGGGTACAGGTGCGGTCTGCGGAGATGTTCGGTACTTTCACTGTCTGCGTGCGGCGGCGTGCGGCGTCCGCAGTGCTGCCGCGCCTCCGCCGCCGGCCGCACCGCTCTCACGGCCGCCGCGGTTGCCGACCGATCGACACCCTCTCGTGTCAATCGTATGCTTGGCCGCGTACGAGCTCGTTGCTTCGCTGAATATCGAGATCGCGCTGCGAAAAATCAACATCTATTTATAGCCAATTCCCTCGCATCGACGTACTGTAGTCTCACGTAATCTCACCGGACGAATCTTTTGTATATATTTCTAATGTTTGCATAGTATCAGCGTTGCCGCCGACGCACTGGTTCGCGATTACCACACCGGACGCGTCTTAGTCTACGGCAGAGTTATTATTGATAGCTGAACTGTTTGTCTCGAAGAGAAAGTGAATTCCGGTGTTTAAACGTTGTCAAGTTTCCTTATCGAGACGATTTCATAACTGATTAATCGTGACATATTCGATTGCACCTGTGAAGTGGCACCAGTTTGATAGTGCTGAGCCCTTTTGTATCTTATGTGTATATCGGGATGTGATTATCTGGTGTGTTAATTTTGTGCGCAGATGTGTGTTTGTAGCGCCGCCCGCATTGTCAAGGTTCGGGGATCGGATCTCACATCAGTGTTATGAGAGTCAGTGTAAAGGCAGGAGATGTGCACTGCGAACACGACGCTTTACGAGACGTACACTGTAAATAAATAATGACCTAATTGTAGGTGGCTAACGTCCCTGCTATTTCGGTGTATGATTGATACGCATAAGGGCAAGTTTAACTCGGAAGGTTACAACAGTGAAATAGATAAAGTGTCAGTGAAATAAAAAGTGTCGTTTATCAGAAGTGAAACTTTTCCCAAGTGCAATGCCCACTTTCAAAGATTTCTACAGGGCGCTCCCTTTCTCTGCTGCCAACTAGACTGCCTTAACGTCACATTCGTGAGTTTTATTTAAATCTGATGCGTTAAACGAGTAAACGTACAAGATATATGAAGAAGGTGCTAATTCATTACCAATGATTTGATGTGATAATGAGTCGGATTCAGTACGTAAAGATGCCTCACTATGACGAAAGTTTTTTTAACGACGACAATCAAAATCAAAGGAGAAATAAGCGGAGTTACCGCGTCTACAAGAACGGTATAAGTCCGTTAAACATACTAGAAACTGGCGATGTTTTGCAAGCGCTTGAAGAGCGGGGAACGTCGGTTATTAAACGAAATATTCGAAATATTAAACATCGAGGCAACAGATACAAACCAGACTCGAGCCCATCCCACGTGCAATATGCTAAGTACAAAACACAGGACGTACTGGGCATTCGCACACCGAGAATCAGCGTATTCGATCCGAACAAATTTTACGATATAAGAAACAATAACATCCCTCCATTAAGTTCCTGCAAGAGCTTCGATAATTTAACTTTAAAGAAGTCGCGGAACGGCGATGTGAATAAGGAGAGAATAAGAAACGGGACGAGTCTTCAGAATCTGGTGTGCGACGAGAATTTGAAGTATTTCTCGTCTCCTTCTGAAGAGTGTGTGGTGAGTTCTCACAAGGATGATGTGGGAAATTCATATTCCGTGGTGGAGGCCCGACGCAGACCTATGCGCCGTGTGTCGCGCATCTCGGCCGCGCCCGGCGTCGGCGTCTACCGGCACATCGGCGACCGCTGTGCTGAAAAGAAGAATGTAAAGGGTAAATTATACGCTTTAGTTTTACTTGTAAATACTACTGTATTCTTGTATTGTTGCTAGCGTTATCTCATACTTATATACGTGATGTTGTGGTGTCATGCTTCTATTTCTGTAACATTAACGTGTGTCTATTTTTGTGTATATGTTTAATAGCGTAAATGTTGTCCGAGCACGTAGTATAGGTGAATACTAACTCTATGGGTCTCTACTGTGTTTGAGCAAGTTAATACTTTAGATATAGCTCTAAATTATTTACTGGTTGGCTTTTAATACATTGTAGATTTCTTACAAAACGAGCTATTGTAAATTGTAAATTAGGCTTGAATAAAAATGTCAAAATGGCTATCTGAAATACTTTCTAATAGGATTTATTGAAGAACACTTATAACTTCTTTCTAAACGTTGAATATATCTAAATCTAACATTTTACTCTCAAAGTATAACTAAATGTATTTTATTCGGCACAAATGAAAAGAACCAATCTGCGAAATAAAACATTGTATTTCTTGCAAACATTTAATAACTACATTTGTTTTTTTTTATTAACAGTTAAATGCAGTAAAGTGTTTCAAATTGTTTTCGGATTTAAACATTACGCCGGCGATTATGATACTTCGCGAACATTAACCTAAATGCTGTAATTTGCAAGTTGAAATGTTTTAAATTTTTTGAACGCTGTGCAATGACGGTCACATCTTGTGACCTGAAAAGAGTCCTTTGACGATGATTATAAGTACTTTAAAATTTGTTAAAACGATGAGATATGACTAAAGATTTACCGGAATCTGATGTATGTTAAATTTAAGCAAATAATTATAAGTAGGTATTTGAAAGTTGAGGTCTCAAACAAATATCAACTAATGACGCTATATTATTATCGTGTTGGAGCGCCTTACAAAACCTGTCTGCAGCAAGTTTTCTCAAAGAAAATATCAATAGAGACAACAATTTGTGCCTTTATATTCCGAGGGCATACAAAAAGTTATTGATAAAAAACACAATAAATTCGGTACTTCCTGAAATTCATACCGTCTATCTAGTTCTTTTAGTATATTGAGACTTGAATAAAAACTAGTAGTACTGTAGATTGTAATATTAACTGAGGAAACTGATAATTTTTATTTCTTACTTTATTGTACTTATTTGTACATCTTATTTTGGTTACGTCGCAAGGCCCTGAAAGCTTACAAAAAAAACTTACAATTGCGGGTTAAGTCGAGTGGAAGAGAACCAGAGGTTGCCGCCCTATGTGCTGGATTGATGAAATATCAGTGTGATCACATAGCGGCTAGTACCAGACGGAGTAGAGAAACATCATGCAATAGATGACCAAGAGAGAGAGATAGAGAGAGCGAGGGATCATTTATCTTCTGTATCCATGCTTATCTTTATTGGTTGTAGGGGCAATTCAAATGAAATTTCTGATTTTGTATGCAATTAGAAGTAGCGGAAGAGATTGTGGTGTATCATTGTGTTTGCGCCTGTGGCTTTAGCAGCTTCGGGCCAGATATTGTATAACAAGGCGTAACTGCCGCGGGAACGCACCATTGTGTCTATTGTTGTTGTGATAATGTTAAGGCCGTCCGCAAAAACCAACGCGTTAACGACCCGTGCACGATGTACTACATAATTGACTTCGTTTTGTCCGTTTAACAGTTCTTAATTATTTACTTGTGCGATTGTTTCTCTCGGATCGTAAAGAAGTGTTCAAAACTCTCTTAACAGATTTCCTTCCTAGTTACGATGGACGATTGAAGATTGTGGTTAAATGCTTTGTTAATATTAAGCTCGCCCAAGGTTAACATTTTAAACAAATAATTATAATAAACAACGTACCGTAGTCTATAAGGAAGGTTACCTTGTACTAACTTTTATGACGTTATAAATTTCTTACCCAATAAAAACAGTGAAATATTCGTTAATGATAAAGCGTTGTTACTTTCCGTGTAACACTGGTCTGCTATTTTAGTTCCGTTCTCTTTCGTAACCATTTCATGTACAATTTTATGTAAAACTTGCGCCACTTAATTATATTAACAACCGTATGTTTTTGTGGTAATCGTGACGTGTTAATCTTTAATCGTATCGGAGCATATCTCAATACGTAATGTTTAGCGAATATCTATACTTCTATACTAATGTTATAAAGAGGAAAGATTAGTATTTTTGTATGTGATGAAAAAATAAAAACGACTAGATTTTTTCATTATAATTATCATGGGAGATTACGATATTACATAAAACATAACTAAAAGGGCGATATTAATAATATCAAAAACTATGTTATAACTTTAATATGAGAAAGGAAGAAAAAGAAGTCTCGTAACTTTATCGCCGCATTAACATTGAATATTTTACATTGAACATATTATTCAATGTTCGTTCACCTAAATCCTTTTCAAAACTTGTACGATTCGATAAAATATTGACTTGAGATTTTTTGTTTTGTAAATGTCCCCTCGGATCGAGAATTGAGATGATTCCATTAGGGTTATGCGGTCGTGAGAGTTTATTTCTTGATTATGAAAACAGATCAAAATATTTCAGTAATCCTCAATCTAATATAGGAGCATAAAAGGAACAATTTCGAGGCGCAGACGCGACAGACGGGGATCGCTCATGCTGCATGTTAAGTAGCAGCCGGTGGCGTCTCCGTGTTTATGATATGTGACGTGACGCACTCGCTCCCGTCCGTCCCGTCCGTCCCGTTCCTTGCGTCCTTCCGCCGCCGCGGCCCGACGGCCCTCAGTCGTCACGCGCCGCGGCCTGGGCGCGTCCTGTCACCGTCGTATTATTTTTAACGCGCGCGTCATCGCCTTTATACGCCGTTTACTTCATCTTAACGCTCTCCTTATACGGATCTTTTTTTCTTTTTATTTAATCAACGTTGTGTGTTTTATGTTCGACCAGTGTTGTACAAGTTCCTCAAAAACTCATCTGAACAGTGCTCAGGTACGATTCAATATTAATCGTATAAGGAATTGAATGTTATTGCGTATTACTAAGCCACTAAATATACCTGATGCAACGCCCCTCGCGGGACTCACTAGTGACACTGTCGAGTCGCTTCCAGGGTCAAAGTCCTGCCTGATAAGTCCCGCTTTAAAATAGATTCTTATATGTGCTTAATTTTAGTACAGACTACAGATATAAATTAATAATGTACAATTTATCCTAAATCGATATGTATTGTTAATAGTCAGGTTTTATTTTTATTGTGTAGATAATATAGATCCTTTATTAATTTTAAAATATGTATGTACAAAAAAAAACTGCACTCTTTGCATTTCACCAAGATTATTAGTTCTTAGTTCTCAACCGTGACAGAAAGTGACACCAACCTTCATAGTCCGGGCATAAATTATAACTTGTGGGAATTTAAAAAGCGGAAAAATTGAAAATTGTCACCGCATTTATGACTCCGCACTAGCCCCATTGTGTGAATACATTATGAAGGTAAAACGTATTTAAATAGAAAAGAGTAATGTATCGATTTTATAATATTTCTTGTACATTATCAAGGTAGACATGCAGCAAACGCTATTCACATTCCACAGCAATCAAAACATAATATCTTAGCTTAAAGATTTATTTTATTAAAAAGTAGATTTTGAGATCTTTTAGTGAAGTGTGGAGAAACAATCCCATATGGCGAACATTAACATTACAAATCTCCAACTTATTATTCCTTTAAGGACGCGTTAAAATAGCATTGCAACTGTAGCAGGTAAATTTTGACCGACCCTTGCATCCTTCGTTGTTTATGTTGCCAAATAATTTCTTACTTATTCAAGTACGAAAAAAATACAAGGTAATTCTTCATCATCGATCTAATAAAATTAAGGATAATTCAATAAAATATGTACATAAAATTGTTTAATCTAATATGACAATGAGAAATTTAGAACTTTACTACTAATACTACTCTACATTCTAACTTTTAATATTAAAACCCATATTGCGTTATACCAGCGTGCAATATGTTAAGGCGTTCTATTCATCTGATTATTTTATGTAAAGTGTCCATCTAATCCGTATAACCATGAACTGATGGCCGTATTCTTTATTTGGGCTCGGCAAGTACAAGCCGCAGTGGAGTCGATAACTAACTTTATGAATTTGGCATCATTAGTCAAGGCACACTACATTATAGCACTTCTGAGCACACGAGACGACCTTCAATTTTCCTCATACACAATTAAGTTAATTTATTACAAATGTTTACGTTCTTGCGAATCTAAAACCAGTTTTAAGTTGGTTGTTTATTTACAAGAATTCAATATTTTTATTAATTTCTTGTCGTCATATATGTTAGTTTTTAAAAGTTATAAGTCGTACGTTAGATTAAATTATTAACTTAATTTATAGTAGAGAAGCGACTACGCTCACTTTGCATGAGATCTTAGTGGAATTTATATATCTCAGTTGCAATAGGGACTTCACAAAGCGGATAAATGTTTTAGTAGTAAAAAATTGATTTACTAAATTGCTGTTACTTATCTCCATAAACCAAATCGTGTAGCTTCACTTTTAATAATTGTTTTTAATTTATTTCGTAAAAACAAGGTCATTGTATAGAACATAATTGCAATCGTTACGTATATCATTTGTTGAAACAAATCTATAGGCGAATTGGGTTTCGTGCGAAATCTTATATAACCTGATAAATAAACATGTTCTCATTCAAATCTATGTCGGGTCAAAGAAGTGATTTTTGCAAATTTATTAACAAAGTATAACTGGAATTCGTTCGAAAATATTCTAAATCGTTAACCTATGCCGTTTTTGTTTTCTTAACATATTCAGTTATTAGGAGTACAAGATCGAAGAGTTTTTAAATTTACGGATATACTGATACTTAAGTACTAAGAAAAAATGCATTAATTGATGAAGTAAGGAAGCGCTTTAATAAAATTTGCCAAATCACATCTGCAACAATGTTACAATAAATTTTTAATCGTAATGTTTTTGTTAACTTTCGAAGAAATAACAGATTTTCGGCCATTTAAGATTTATGTTCTACTTTCTTGCACAGTTATCATTTATAAGACTTTTAATTTGACTGCAATCAGTAATTGATATATCAGCAAGCAGTGAGATAGCATTTTCTTACTGTTAGTAGTTCAGGCGACTGTTAGAGTTTTCGAGTGCCATCTAACACGTTAAGGCAACTTTGTTAGTACACAAGAACAACGGTTCAAAGTGAACGAGACGCGGGACAACTTGTGCTGCAAACTGCCCCTAATGATATCATTAAAAACGTGCAAGTTGTACAACTTGGTTTAAAGTTTAACTACGACCGTGTTTGTACACGAGATTTTAATTGCGCGGCGCATGTTTGTTATTATGTTGAACCGTTCCCCAAAGGTTTCTCTACGTGTTATTTACGTCTAATTAAGTGGACTGGAGTGCGAAAATGTAGTATTCCGTTTTCATTCACCGCTGATTCTTTCTATTTATAATTACATGTTTCTATTTTCTTGAATGATCCAATGTGTCAAGTATTAATGTGGGCGGAACTAGGAATTAACACTAACACACAACAGTAATGATCGACAAGTCAATTTGTGTAGGTAAGGAACCTATACTGTATGTTAAATAGGTTCTTTTCTACGTTTGGATTGATGATATGGGGTGAATAATGTATAACCATATTACCAAATTGAATATTGAATGTTTAAGGTTTTTTGACTTGTTTTCTTATCCGTTTTAGAAATTGCAACTTAAAGTAACTAAATCTGCACTGGCTATAATATTCCATGCAAATAAAAATGGATTGTATTTTGCATTAAAAAGGTATTATTGAAGATTTGAGCTTTAAGATAGATATTGATAGCATCTAAGATTGATCTAACTGGTGTAATGTGGTTAGATTGTTGTTCGTCCTGGTTGTGTGGTTTATTTTCAA